CTACTTTTAGATACTGAACAAAGCAGTAACACACAACTCATTTCTAGGCTCTGATCCAGAATTTTGGGGATAAAGATCATTTTGTGAACTCAACGTGTAAAAGAGTACCCCTTTTTAATAGCTATAAAGGTTGCTTTGATTTCTTCTTCTGTGCAAGTGAAGCCCTTGCTGTCTCTGTGATTTGTATCTGAATGCTTTGCTGAGATGACCTGGGCAGGCTTTTTTGGAGGAAACCGATGAATTTGAGACAAAACCCTCTGTAAGTTCCAGATGAGACACTAACCTTCAGAGCCTACAGTGAGTTTATAATGGATCTAGATTATTAATGTTTTTTCATATTCCTCTTTCTTACCTCCTTGATATCCGTTGTTAAATGACATTTTTCTCTTGGGTGTACCAGTACTTGGCTGTACTGGTATCTTCCTAGGGTAGCCCTGGTCATAGTACCTGTTACGTGTTTCCTGCCCCTCGGTGACAGTAACAGATTTAGCTATAAAAATTCATAACAATGTTAGCTGCAGTTTGAATAAAACATAATACAAGCCTTTAGATTTGCAAGCTCTCTTGCTGTGCCAGTTCTTGAAAAATTGATAACTCAAACTGGTGATGACAACTTTCTGGGTTTTGATTATTTGGTTGTGTGGTGTTGTGGTATGTGCTTCTCCCCCCCCAACTGAATAAATGCAATTCCATTGCCATTAGTTAGTTAGGGGATTTTGTCTGCTAAGAATAATAATCTTAAAACTAAATTGCAGTACTGTCTTGGTTTAAATTGGCCACTATTGATAGTTACTTAACTTGCTGGATTTTGGCCAGGCTGTGGTTAATGTTATTTATTTTGACAGTTTTATATTGCCCCTTGAGTTCTATTTGTTTAAGGAAAAAAAGTAAATGCCAAAAAGTGATACTGTAAATTCAAAAGAGGTGAAAAATGGATTTAAGAGGCAGTTAAATAGATTGTGTTCCACAGACTAATTCAGGGCTTGTGACCTGTGTTGCACTCGAACCTTGGTTTATAACTTCACTTATGGTAATGAATGTTGTTAGAAAGTAGCAGTGTTCCTGCCATTTCATTTTATTCCTTCTGTGATAAGAGGAATTCTGGTGCCTTATTCAGCACCGTGGCACAGGCCAAGCTGGTGAATGGCTGTTCTGAATTGTGATGCTTTGTTTTTTTTTTTTTTCCCTGAGACATTTAAACTCTGAGCTGTTGGATTTTGACTGGGTTCAGTTCTTGAAAAGGGGGTTTTGCTGTTTGGATTTTTGATTTCCCTCCAGTACAATAAGTGCTAGGTGTGTTTCCTTTGCTGCACTCTGAACAGGTTTTTTTTTTTCTGAGCCTTGGAAATTCAAATAGTCATAACAGCTTCCTGTGAATAAATCCCCTATTCTGAAATACATTTTGCTATCTGTAGAGTTTCAAAAAAATTGCTCTAAAGTTGGGATTTTTTTGGCTCTCTGTGAGGTGAATTCCCCGAGTGCCTTCATATCTTGCAGAGTTTTAAAGTATGCTGTGCTTTAAAGAAGTGGTATTGGAAGTGATTCTGTGAAAAGGTTATTGGCTTTCGTGCCATAGTGCTTATCTAATTCTTTCTGCTTCAGTTTTTTTGATTCCCGATGTCCCAGCTTTAAACTAAACGTTAACCTTGGCCATGGCAAGCAGAGCCGAGCTGGTCCAGCCCCGCGCCCCGAGGTGGGCGGTGCCCTATACCTCACAGCGGTGGAGCTGCTCCAGGCCCTCGGGGAGTGCCCCTCTGTGCTGAAGGGCTCGGCTTGCCCCTCCGTGGGGGACATCTGTTCCCTTGAGCCATGTCCTGCACCTACCGTGTGACAGGATCCTGAGCAACCTGCTCTGGTTTGGCCCTGCTGTGTGTGGGGGTGGGACTAGATGTCCTCTCCAGGCTAACTGTGTGTCTTGGCTGGGGCAGAGCGAGCATCAGGGCTGGAGCTTCTCTCTCCAGCGTGTGAGCAGGGCTGACCTGCAGCTCTCTGAGCTGCTTCTCTCAGAGCTCTCCTGTCCCTGCAAGACTCTTTAATAAAAGGAAGTTCTTACAGATGTGTCAGGGAGATGCTGTTACATTTTGGTAATAAGTTTCTAAAATCAGTTATTTACTAGTCTTTAGCCTTTTTTTTAAAAATAGCTTTCTTGCTACACTGAATAGAGTGTAATTATGTAGAGTGACTTGTGATATCAGACTCAAAAAATCAGTGTTCTAGCAATGTGATGATGGAGCAAGAGGAGGCTAGGAAAGCTTCATCAGGAGTATGGTGGTGGCTTAAGTTGCCTGGCCACCCCAGGATATCTAGAGCTTTCAGAAACAGTGGCCTCAGTTTATCTCTTCGGTTCAAAGTGGCTCTGATTTTCCCAGTGTTGTATGAATTTGCTGTCTATGAGAAAAGCTGCTGGAAGGGCAGTACTGGGGCATACAGGCAGCTCACTCTTTTTCTGTGCTTCTCTAAAAGCTTTGCTTAACCTGCAAGGATGGAGGGAGACCACATGCAGACTATGAGACTCCCAGAATGTCATTGAAAGGGACCTCAAGGATTGCCAGGTCCGACCTTTCTTGTCAAAAGCATGGTCTGGAAAAGATGGCCCAGCACCCTGTCCAGCTGAATCTCAAAGTGTCCAATGCTGGAGGATCCATCGTTCCTGGGGAGATTATTCCAATGGCTTATCTTATTGGGAAAAGTGTTCCTCCTGTGTCCAGTTGGAATCTCCCCAGGATTAACATTTACCTGTTACCCTTTATCTTTTCCATGTGATTCCTTGTAAAAAGGGAGTCTCCATCTTCTTTTCAGCCACCCTTTAAGTATGGGAACATGGTGACAAGGTCTCTCCTGAGCCTTTTTTTTTCTCAAGGCTGAACAAACCCAGTCGTCTCAGCCTTTCCTCGTATGGCAGCTTCCCAGCCCACTAATCATCTTTGTGGCCCTTCTCTGGACCCGGTCCAGCGTGTCCACATCTTTTTTTATGTCAGGGACCAAAACTGAACACAGTATTCCAGGTGTGGCCTGACAAGTGCTGAGTAGAGTGGGCTAATGACTCTTTGTCTTTGCTGATGCCCTTGTTGATGCAACCCAGCATCAGGTTGGCTTGGTTTGTCACTGCAGCACACTGTTCACTCATACTGAGCTTGTTGTCCACCAGGACCCCCAGGTCCCTTTCCACGAAGCTGCTCTCCAGCCAGGCCAAGTAGTTCCCAGCCTGTGCTGCGCTCCTGGGTTATGTTTTGCCAGGTGCAAGATCTTACACTTGTGCTTGCTGAACTTGGTCAGGTCCTTGCCAGCCCGTTCTTCCAGTGCATCCAGGTCTTCTTGCGAGGTGACTCTTCCTTCCAAGGTGTCCACTTCTCCACTCGGTTTAATATCATCATCAGACAAGTGCAGAAATAGTTTTTGTGTGGGGAACTAGGTCCCATTCCTGGTCACTTCCTTCCTGAATACAGGCTGAAAGTTGTGGTCTGATGCTTTCTGGCTGCCAGGTACCAGTGATGCCTGTGGCTTTGGAAGATTTCATCTTGCAGGGCTCCCCTCTGCTTGCCATGGGATGTTCTTTTGTTCTTCCTCCAGCCTGAGGTTTGAATCGGTGAATTTCTTGTCATTTTCTAGGGGAGGAAAAAAAAAAAAAATTCTGTAGAGTTTGGGCCATACTTCTTCATTTGCCTGAAGAGTGCAACTGGTGTTTGTAGAGCTTAGATTAGTTTAGGTTGTTTATCTGTTGGGCAGAGGAAAGAAGCAGCTCTTCATAACTGCTAAAGCTTGAATGTTGTTACAGTTTAAGACCTTAAATTAATGAAATTATTTTGGAAATCAGTGTCCTGGCTGGTTGAATTCTGGTCGTATGGCCTAGCCATATTTTTTCCCTCAGAGTTAATTTAAATGAGTTTTTTAGTTTTTCTTTATAGTAGCGTTGACTGTAGGAGGGGCTTTGATGCAAGGATGCTCGCTCTAGTCTGCACTGTTCAGACATCTGCTGAAATGATTCACAGCTTGTGCTTGCAGCTTTGTCTTTTCATGGACCTGGCTGCTCTGAGTGAACTTTGAATACTTGAGGTAGTGTTGTAGGCTCCTTTCATGTTTTGCCTTTTTTTCTTTTTTTTTACCTTTGCCTATAGATGTTACCTAAGTGGAGGTATAGAAGCAACTTGTCACAAGCTCAGGGTTCATAATACTGTAAGATAATGGGGCAACCTTTTTTTTTTTTTCCACCTTAAAAAAGGTCTTATGCTCAATATCTGCATTAAAAAAAACCACCCCAAACCCAAAGAACAGAAGCCTAAAAAAGCTTTTTTCCTTTGCCCCCATGAAATGGGGAGCGGTTGTTGCTGCGTTCTGTACATCACCTTCAGTAAACTCCCTTGGCTTCCTACAGAGTCCTCTGTCAGGTTCAGGAGTGGTGTCCTGGTCCTTCCCAGCTCTAAACGGTTTGAGGCCAGGATACCTGCACCAAATGACCCAACTTGACTTGCTGTTACTGAAATCAGTGGCCTCTAATGTCGTTGTAGTATTTTTCTTCTATTCTCACACTAGTTATTAAAAGGTGCTTTCTGTCAGAATAGAAATGATAGGGTTTTTTGTAGCCCTCTCTAGAGAAAGAATGTTGTCTGATGCATGCTTCAGGGATTTCTAAAAATAAATAATAAATATACATTTTAACAAGTAATAAAATACAGTTATCTTTAAATGTTCTGCTTTGTCTAATTTTAGTGTGTTTTTTCTAATTTTCAGTAGTAAACATGGCTATTGGACTGCTGCTGTGTGCTATTACTTTGCATAATTGTTATATTACAAGACTAAACTAGTATAATTTTAAGACTGTGGCTTCTAATATCACATTACCTTTCCTAAAAAGAATAAAAATATTAATATGAAGCATTTTTCTTCAAATTTTAAAGCTGTTAAATAACTTTTTTTGCCTGCTAATGATTTGATAATAGCTTTGTAATACATGGAATTTGTGATAAACTAGCTGACTTTCTCTTTCTTTTTGACTTGTCTAGAAAAGTTGGAGGTTGCACCACCATCTCCAGGACAACTGAGACATGGTAAAAGAAGAATGTTCAATGTAGTTCAGTACTTGTGCAGTCTGTCTTTTAACAGCTTCATCTTTATCCTACAAGTGCTGGTCTGTCCTCATCCCTGTCGCATGGAGCAACAGAAAACCAAAGCAAGCCCCAACAGTCATGCTGCTTTCTATGTTTCATCACACCTCAGCTGGAGAACGTGCACCGTTCGGTGAAAGCAGGGCAGCAAGCCCAGATGAGTGCTGCTCAAAGCCAGCAGCAAACCTTGGTTTTGTGAGGCGAGCAGTGTTGATGCTGCAGTACCTTGTGGGGTTTTTGTCTGCAGTCTTAATACTATTGACTTGCTTGTTGTCGTGTGTTTTAAATGGACTGAGATATGGGATAAAATTGCAGAGAAATTGGAAATCAATTTGGTATTCCTTATAATCCTATGGTCACTCAGATCTTGATTTAGTTTCCAGATCAGTGTTTTTTTTTTTTTGTGTGTTTTTAAACTGTCAGTGAACAAACATATTTAGTTGAGCATTTTTCCTGTTTTAGGCATCTGCGCTTATTTTTTCTTTTTTTTTTTTTTGCTTGGTCCCTGGGGTTCTGTTTACTCCATGGATACCAAAATTCTGCCAACCTTGGTAAGAATCTGAACTCTCTTTGTAGTTCCAGAGTTTGGTGCACATGTTTAAAAATACTAGGCATCTCCCTGTGGTTTTTCATTTGTTTTTGAGGCTTTTCTCCTGTGATGGCTTACATAAAAAAAAAAAGTCATACATTCTGTGCTTTAGTCTTTTACCTGTGCATTTAAGAAGATGTGTATGCTCTTACAAAGTAGTTGCAGAAGTCCAAACATGTTCTGGTCCCCAAGCATGAAAGATCTTGTGTGACTTTATGTGATCATGGATCCATGCTGTGAGAGGAAAACCCAAAAGGAGCTCATACCAGTTTCTTTTCACATGATTGTGGAGTTCATGACTCTTCCTTCTTCCCTCTTCATATGTTTGCAACACTAAGCTTATAAAATATAGGAATTATTGGTCACGTCTGAAGTGGGGGGAAAAAAACCCTAAGTAGCTGGTGCATTTTAAATGTTAAAAAAATATGAAGTTCTGATTTTAAAAGGTGTATTTTTAGTCCTGTAGTCTCTCCTTGGTGCTGTATTTAGTCTTATGATGCCGGCACCTTGAATCTCAGCTGGGGGCAATGCTGTGCAAATTCAGTCCTATCTCCTCAGTAGCTTACACACTAAAACTTGAGAGACAAAATGGAACAGAACAAGCACTGTGCTTGTTAGAAATTATTCAGACAATCATGTTCCAAGTTCCTGCAATAGAAAATATTTTCAAAGTTTACTTAGTTTCAGGAGTGAAAAGAAATGCATGAAACAAAGTGCAACTTGATTCCTTAAAGGAGCAGCTTCAAGTCTAACTTGCTTTCAGCATAGTGCTCAAACAAAATCAAGATGCAGGAGGTTGGGTTGGAACAGTGAGACATATAATGCTGAATGACACCAGTGAAAACCAACTCAGCATTTGCAGATTTATCCGAAGGAATTTTGGTAAGAATTGCAGTGCTCCAGGCAATACTGGGTGAATTTAATAAATATGAATTTTTGGGAATGTGTGAAGAGATGGAACTGTTGCATAAGAATAGAGGGGGACTTGCCAAGGAAGGGGCTTTAGTTCAAGCAAGGAAAGAATGCAGAGAGTAGTGAGACAGTTTCGCAACCTTTGATGGTACTGCAGAGTTGACTGGAAGGACTGTAAATAGTACCAAAGATTGTATATTTTAAAGTATTTCTCTTACATGCTAGTAGGCAGAAGTGGCTTCCATCCAAAATTGTGCAAGTATTTGCAGAGTAAGTTTTAACTGGTTTGTTGCAAGCCATTAGTAACACTTGTGTGTGGCAAAGTTTTACCAGACCTGCCAGACATAAAAACTCACTAACTGTAGTAGAAAGGAATTTTGTGGATGTTGTCTTTGACCTTGTAAAGGCATTATTAGACTGACACTTCAGTAGTTTGTGTGAACTAGTGAACTCTTATAAATATTTATTTTCTCTTTGTCACTTATTTCTTTTAGTGTTCTTCCACAATGCATTACCTTTTGTAGGGTTTGGATTTTTGGATAATGCAATTATGATTGCTGCGGTAAGTTTATTATTTAATTCCTTGATTGAGTCAATAAGATTCTTATTGTTCAAGTACTAAGTGAGTAAATGAGAGCTTCAGGAAGACTGTCCCCACTGTATCAGCTCACTAATGTCTATTTTAATTTTCCTTTTTTAAAGCAAATGTCCATGCTTTCTTCAGCTTTTGCAGAATGCAGAGGAGTGCTGTTCCTTCTGAAGGGCAGTATGTAACTCACTGAATTGAGAAGAGGCTTGATTTTTTTTTCTTTCATAATTTGTGCTTCAAGGCATGTTTATATGTAATCAGTACACATTTTTTTGTATCAGCTGATAATAATGCTATTATGCATTGATGAATAGGCATTTGGGGTTTTTACTGCAGTGTTCCTTTGTTCTGAGCAATGCAGGCCATGTTAGTGCTGATGCTGATTTGTACTGATGTAGCCTGGCATTTCTCAGTAACACTGAGGTATTTTCATGTTCATTTGGAAGATGAAATGGGCTAGTGGAACAGGAAGATGGATAAAAGCCAAATATACTGTTCCTTGTGTAGAATTATCATTGACAGCGTGATGTCAGTCATGGGATAATTCAGGTGGGAAGGGACTGCAGGACCCACTAGGTCTCTAGTCTTCCTCCTGCTTGCCACCTTATCATGGTTTCTAGTCTAACCTCCTGCTCAGTGCAGTCAGCTCTGAGGTCAGATGAAGTTACTCATGGTTTTATCCTGTGGGTCTTGAGAAGATCCAGGAGCAGGGACTGCACAACCTGTTGGGGCAACCTGGTGTGGTAGTCATCTGTATTCATGGTGGAGAACATTTTCCTGTACCCAACTGGAACGTGTTTAACTCTTGCATGTTGTCTCTCATCTTTGAGTCATGTACTGCAGTTTCATCGTGCAGTTCACTGTGATCTGTTTGTTCAGCTGAAGAAGTAAGGAGCTACAATACCTTGTTTTATTTGTTTGTTCAGTATTTTATCAGTTTGCATTCAGCTAAGAATTACAGTGGAGGAAATGTGTGCAGAGATAAGAGTTCCAGTTTTGTCCATCAGGTGGCCGTTATGAAACAATGTAAAGTGTTAAGAATATCAGAACTAGGCTCTTGTCCTAGGGGGCAATATGTATGCTGTGGGGGTAGGAGCTGTGCAGATCTAGTACGAGCAATGTCTTTTTATCATTTCAATCTTAACATAAGCAGTAAGCAACAGTTTTTGCCAGTTGAATCAATATAGTCTAATTGAAGTCACTGAAATAATGAGAACTCTTATTTTTCAGGGAACCCAAATAGAGTTGTCAATTGGAGTTGTCTTAGGAATTTCAACTATGGCAGGCAAGTAATGCAATATGTGTAGACTAATATGGCACGTTCCTATATTTCAGACTGAAAATGGGCCACAGGGCTGGAAATGCCTCTTCCTTGGTGTTGCAGCTGCCTTTCCGACTAAAGGAGCAACCCATGGTTGAAGCAAGGACATATTCCATTTGCAGAAACAGAGTATCAGTTGGAATAGCTTTCAAAGTGCTCGTTGTGGGTTTTCATCTAGGAGTTCAAATCCTGGGTCGCTTAGGAAAGTGTGTTGGCATTTCTGCAGTGAAACTGCTCTAAATTCCCTAGGGTCTGATATTTATGTTTGTGTGTATATGTGGTTGTAAGTTGCTGTTTGCTTGCAGTGCTAAGTGAACATCAGCAGTGGTGTCCTTTTACTGTGGTGGACGGTGTTCTTGGTGGCTTCTCTGCCTCCGTGCGATACCACGGGAAGGCCAAACAGCCACCCTGCTCTTGCACTGGCTCAAAACTGATAAGCTCTGCTCAACAGCTTTGGTGCTTCTGCAGTGCCAGAGGGGGGAAAAACCTGCTCCTGGATCCCTCGGCTGCAGGTGCAACGTTGCTCAAAAGCACACAGATAGCTTCCATGAAAGTATGTATAGCAGAACAAATTAATAATTTGGAAATTTTGCAGTCCTTTGCAACAGAAGAGAGTCACAAGCAAGCTTATCTCAGTAACATCTGCTGAGAAATAATGTATTTTGTGTGTAACTTTATTCAATCATGTGTATTTATTCCTGAACTGCCACAGTTTTTTTCTTTTATTATAGAGTGTTTCTCTAAACTTCTAGTCTTTTATGCTAGATATACTGACAAGAGTGTGGGTCACTGGAGTAGGGGGGAAAGGAGGGAAGCTGGTTGGTTTTCTTTGTAATGCAAGTAATACTTTGCCTTCTCCCCTTTTCCTCCCTCCAGCTGCAGCTTTGGGAAACCTTGTTTCAGATTTAGCTGGACTGGGGTATGTCTGAACTTGTATGAAGAATTTTTTGTCTACTCTTGAAAACCCTGTTGGTGCTAATGAACTACAACATGCTAACTGCTGAAATTGCTGTATTTTTTTTTTTTTTTACCTAGCTCTTGAACGTTGCTTCAGTAAAGTACATGACTGTGGAAATGTGTTCTGTGTTTGCTATGAAAAATTGGAATATTAAGTGTTTCTGGTCAAGGTTAAGCCTCCGTTGTCATAGTTCTGAAACAAGAATATTTAATACTGTAATAGCAAGAGAGTTAAAATGATGAAATTGGAATTAGTGTTTAATCTGATTCAGTGTATTCTGTATGCAATGCTTGCTTTAAGGAAATACTGGATTTTTTTCTATATAAAGTGAATTCATAAAAATATAAAACAGTAAAATACAATTTTATGATAGAATGTATTGCTGTGATAGCAAATACCTAATATACCTCCTCAGACTGTTATGCCTAGAGCTGAAGACATTTCCTTCTCCTCAGATAAAACAATTATATATCTGAACTGTCTTCAGCTCTAGGCATAGAGAGTCCTGATATGAACAGATGCAACTGGCTTATTTTTTTAAAAAGAAATTTTTGAGTAATGGCTGGAAGCAAAGCTGTCTGTTATGCATGCCTCTTTTACCCACTTCCCCCATTCTTTTTTCCTGCAAATAACAAGGCTTATTACTAACTAGTGTGTGTGTGTCTGTAACCTTTCCTTCAGTATAGGCTACTTATAAGCTCTGCAAAAACATAGTTATGTTCACATAGTTATCTCTTAACTTTCCAAGTTTCTCTTAACTTTTTAACTGGAAAAAAGTTCCAGTTTGTCTGGAAATATTGCATATTAAATCAGTGAGACAGTAAGTTAACTTATATTGTAAAATGTGACTGTCAGAAGTCTGAACACTGTCATATTTACCTCATGATGTTTCTTCTCTCGTATTTGCCTTTATCAGTATGCTGAAGGAGAAGCTATTAATTTTTACTGCTTCAAATATTTCAAAATCTGTAGTAGAAGACACCATCAGATCCAAAATCCTTTGTTGTCATTTTCTTCTTCTTCCAGTCTTGCAGGTTATGTAGAAGCTTTAGCTTCACGACTGGGTCTCTCAATCCCTGACCTGACACCCAAACAAGCCGATATGTGGCAGACCCGTCTCAGTGCACACTTGGTGAGTATCCTGCATGTGGACACTGTTTGTGGGGGGCTTTGCTTAAACTAATATGTGACAAATCCTTTTTGTCATCTTTGCCATGAAATACTTAATGACCACCAACATTTTGTGTTTCTCCTGGAAGGTTTAGCTGTGGGCCTATGCCAGGGAGCATAATGAGACTGAATTGATTTGAGCTTGGGTGTTTTTTGTGTATGCAACAAGCCATGAGTGACTAGTGGTGTGAACAGTCTCTGCAGTGGCTTCATGTGTGTTATGCAGATACCTGCTCTGAGCTCTGGCTATTGTGATTACATCATTTATTTGAAAACAATGACCTCTTAGTAGTTTACTCCTGTATTTGTTAAGTTCTTGCTATTCATATACCAGTGTTAGTATGAATTTATCTCTAATAGTATATAATTAGCTTGGATATGAAATTAGCTTTCACCTGGGTAAACTTCTAGCATTTGAGTAATAGTTCTCTGCCTGGGTTTACAGTTATGAGACACATCTTGCAGATTCATTTTGAGGATGATTACTTAATTAAGATTTAAACATTGGAAGCAGTCTCACTTCAACAATGAGTGTGTTAGTTTATTTTGATTAAAGAAACAGATTATAAGAAACTGAGTAAAGAAACAGACATTTCCTTCACTTTGCCAGAAGGGACCTTCATGGAGAAAAATCTTTGCAGATTTAAGGGAAGAGAAATAACACTTGCTGAGGAAAAGTCAGAGGAAGAAGGTTTTCTGTCGGCAGTGATAGATCAAAGCAGGGAAGATTTGGCATGGTTTTTGTGGGCTGCCCTCTAGTCTATCTGACATAAAAGTCTTCTCAGTGCAGCTGAGTGTGTGGCAAAAGCCTGTCACTGCACTGCAGTTCATTCACAGCACCTCCCTGGGAAAAGACTTCTGAGGATCTTCACTCATGTGCTGGTGCTTTGGGTTTTTTAACACACTGTCTCTAGTTTCTCAACACTGTCCACCTGCTGCTGGTGATGTGGTGTGGATGTTGCCTGTCTTCTTTCCTCTCTTCTTGACTTTTACATGTGAAATGTTTTCCAATCTTTTCTCTTTTCCTTCAATTTTTGCCTTTGCAAGCCATCGTGTTTGTAAGGAATTCCTTGTTCCTGACTTTGATAATTTGCATTGCCAGATACAAGCACATACATCTACAATTGCACCTAAAATGTCTGTGAGTTGGGTTTTTTTCCTTCCCTGTCTTCCTGGCCATCCTATTAATCCTCTCTTGCTGTCTCTTCCCTCACCACCTGTGCAGCTCTTCCTGGGGCATTCACTTCTTTATTCAGAACTGTTTTATCACAGCACACACTGTTTCTAACCTTGTCATATCTGTCTCTTTCATAGATAGTGTTTCTAGTCTGCATGCTAAAAACAATGTGACTTCAACTGAAAACTAGAACAAAGGGTCTGTTTTCCTGGTTGTGTTGGTACTACACAGCAAATGAGTAACTACTGAGCAATGAGAAACTTAATTTTTTTTTTTCCCCTCTTTCTCTAGGGTAAAGCTATTGGAGTGACCATTGGCTGCATTTTAGGAATGTTTCCTTTGTTGTTCTTTGGCGATGAGGATGAAAAACTGGAAGAAAAAAATTAAACTTTTTACAAGATGTATACAAATGTAAACTACTGTACCTCAATTATTCAATTATGCTGTCAATATTTAGGAATTAACAGACAGTAAAAAATGTATAGACTTGGGAACAAAACCTTCAGCATGTTGTTTTATGGAAACACTAATTTATTGTGGCTTTGTTGTGTTTGGTACTTCTTTTTATAAGGTATCATCTAACTTTTTATTTAATTGTAAATTTTTGAAGTGTTTTCACTTATGGCAACTGATGTTTACCACTCTTCCCTTTTACCTTCTTCTTTAATGGTTTATTACTTTAATGATCCACCACAAATGACAGTATCACTCACGAGTTGTGTATTGGTTGCTTAACAGTTGTAATTGCATGACAAAAATCTCACTGCTGTCCATCAGGTCCTTCAATGCAGATTACTAAGAAGATCAGTGGTGACAAATTTGAAGTCCCTCACTTTGCAGGGTGACTGGTTGCCCCTCACCAGCCATCGTTTTGCACTGCCTTTAGATGAGGTATTTCAGTCATCTACACGAGTCTAGTTTGCATTCTTTTCACAATTCTGACTCAGTGTCTCTGAATTATCTGCCGAGATAATTTTAATGCTTTGGCAAGGTAAGTGTTTCTGGTGCAGGTTCTTTACCAAGCCCATTTTTCAGTGGTGTTTTAACACCTGTCCTTCCATATTTGTGCCTTTTTTTCCTTTGTAAACAGTATTTTGAGGATTAAGTTCAGATATCCTTTAACTTGTCCTTGTGGGTTTTGAGTGTAGTATTAAAGAATTTAGACCAACTATTTCAAAACCACAAACAACTTTTTTTTATTGTTCTGCTTAAAATAAGGTGTGAGTAGTTGATGGGGAATGGGGAGCACTTCAAGGTATGAAGGTGTGCTGGCATTCAAGTTTGTAATGGGTGGTTCAGTTGAACCAAATGTACCATCAGTCTGGATTAGAGGACCTGATTTGCAGATTATAACTTTGTATTTAAGAATAAGCCTTTGCTACTTTTTTTTTCTGTGAGACAATTAGTGAAAAAAAAAAAAACCCAAACAACAAAAAAAGAGACTTGAGGCCTTTTTCCTTTTTTGCCTTTTATTTTTGCAATCTTACTTGGTGTATTATAGATCTGACAATGCAGTCAATGTAACTACTTTTTTTATATAGTCATGAATAAATTGATTTCAGCTATCAGATATTAATAATATTTCAGGATCTGACTTGCTAATAGCATAATGCTAAACTGGTAAGTGTTGATTAGGGGAGAGATGTTCAAAGAACATTTGGAAAAGACATTAAAAAGGTACAGACAGGGCACTTTGAAAGTTTTATTGCTGGAATTGTTACTACTTCTGAAACCTAAAAAGAAATGTTTTTAAAAAACAAATTATATACCTTGATTACTTTTGCTGTAGAAAAAGTCTTATTATAACATATGTTTTACAGAACTCATTGCTTATCTCTTGATAAATCTGACTTCTCTGTTGTCATCTCTAGAAGCTCTTTTACAGCAATACTGACACTCAGCCTTTAATGAAGGTGACAGTGTTGTCTGTTTTTTGAAAAGCAGACTTTGAAAATTTGCAGTGAGTAGTCCTAGTAGCATGTACTGTACTTTGTACATTAAACCATGAGAATCTGGACTGGACTGTAAAACTGAAGGAAAGCCCAGCCTAGAACCCAAGTGCAGAGGAGTCTTGGCCTGGATTTTCAAAATTGTAAACTCTATTAAAGAAAGAAACAAACAACAAAAACTCCTCCAAATAAAAAAAAAAAAATCCAGGAAAACCAGTCCTTTCCCCAATAGATTGCTGCTGGTTTTACAGTACTTCAGTGATAAGGATTTCTTAGTCATCTACACATTTGTCTTGCCTTAAACTCTTTTCTTCCTCTGCATGTACTTTTGTTTCTGGTACATTTCTCTATAAAGCTGTATTTCCTACATGTTCTTTTCTTTTAAAAAACTGAAGTTCACATTGAAATAATTTTGCATAGCTTTTATCTGTAGCTATTTTTACAGTAATTCCAATGCTGTTCCTTCTTAGCCCATACCAGCATCTTCATTGGAATCTTCCAGCAGTGGCCAAACCTCTGTTCTTTGCCATCGTACCAACTGGAAGTGTTTTCATCACTTTTTTAGAGCTCGTGAGACCAGTCTGACGAGGCTGTGTCAGCTGGCAGTGTTCATTTCACAATGGCAATAGGAAAGACTGTACTATTGTTAAACAGCTTGTGCATGTAAATGGAATACGTTTTGTTGCTGTATGTCCAACTATTGTACTGCAAGCAATGCTTTTAATGAGAATTATGAACTAAAATATCTTAAAAGAAATTAGTCATGTGTTGTCTTGTTAAAAACTGTTTAGCTGACCACTTGACCCGCTTGGAGGGCAAGGGACACATGGTCAGGAATCTTGTGTGTTTGACTGTTGTCTGATACTGGCATCAAGAAAGGTGACTTCTAGGGTTTCCATATTTGATAAACATGAAGAAATAACTTGTGATTTGAGAGGAGTAGTGGCTCTGCTGGTGGCAAAGAGAAGGTACTTGTTGGGGCCAAGCTGCCACCCTGAGTACAGTGGGGGTAGCCTGCGTTGCCCGCAGGGCCCACTCGTGTGGATGTGGTACTGCTTTGTGTGGAAGGGAGGATCTGTGCCTGATCTCCACCTGATCTCCTAGAAGGGTGTTTTTTTTGGGGTATATGGATGAAAGTAATCCCTCATGCTCTGATCCCACTTTTAAAACACTTAACTGAGAAGACAGAGCACTAACAGAAGACTCCTCTTTGTTTTCTGTTGTCTTCTCCCTGGATAAAAGGAAAAACACTGCAGGCTTACTTATAGACTCCAATATTGCTTTTTTTTATCCCATCAGTTTGCCCTGTATTGACAGGATTTTAGCACATTAAAGGGCTGATAAATATGGAATTGTTTATTTTAAAATGCTGTCTTTTATTGTAACTTAAAATATAAATGTATTTTTGATTGTATGTTATCCCTAGATAACAATGAACATGCATCTGATAATACGGTTACCCAAATCTTCTCGCCAATATTCTCTCATCCATGTACTTCTACATAAATTATTTTAATCCAGACAACATATTTTGTATTGTCTTTAATTAAATTGTCGAACTTTGTCTAAACTTTTATACTACAGCAAAGCTGTTCTGTGTTTCTTTATTAGACCAGATGCTGGAGGGGAAATGTTAATAATATCCTGTGGGTATTCAGCCTCAGTTATACAAAACAGGAATTTATTATTTACATTCTAAGCAGGTGGTCCTTTGTCACTGTCATAGAAGGTACCACTGTGGAGTGGTACTTCTCTCTTCATGCTTGGAAGAGTGATTTGAACAATTAAAATGTTTGCATGCTAAATTGTTGGCATTCATAATTAATATTATTTCTAAGTTCCCTTGGACTTGAGCTTCTGGAATTAACTGAAATTTTGTATGTGAACTGAGTCTTTCTGAACTTTCCTCATCTTTGGAGATCTTCACTTTTTTTCACTCCTTGGTCAGTCCCTTTTGTGGATGTCTGTGCGTAAAGAAATGCTGTGAGGAAAACATCTGTACTGGAAGGATGGTCTCCTCTCATTCTGACAACCTCTATCAGTTGGCTGTTGTTTTACTCTGTTCTGCTTGCAGTGTGTAGTGGAACTCTTCACTGATCTTATTCAGAGAGTCTATCGCACTTCTAGCCAACATTTCCCATTTCTCTGTCTGATGTTTTGCCTGGTCTAGTGACAAGCTGACAGAGCAGTGGTATATAAAATAAAGACCTTAATAAAGTATTTGAGGAATTATCATACTGGTCTGAGAGTCTTATGCCTCTGGAATTTATTTAACCTAAAATATTAAGAAAAATAGCTAAAGCTACTCCAGGTTGCAGTTAATGAGCTCATAACACAAATGCAAGCTCCTGCTTTGAAGTTTAACATTTGTTAAGGCTTCTACCCTTGTCTCGGTGTTCACAACTCTTGGCATCCAGAGTATTGCTTCAAAATAGTATTGGGGTGGAGGGGATGGTGAATTTTGGGCAAACTTGGAATTTGGAAGCCAACAAAAAAACCCAGAAGGCTTTTTTTTTTGGCTTGTTTTGGTTGGTGTGTTTTGTTTGTGTGGGTGCGGGTGTTTTTTTTTTTTTGGGTGGGTGAGGTGTGGGGTTGTTTTGTTAGGTTGGCTTTTTTGTTTGGTTGGGGTTGGTTTGTTTTTGAAGACCACCTCCCACAGCCAAAACAAAGCCCACCTTCTAGAGAGCCCTGTGAGCTTCCTGTACACTCACTGGCAGGAAATGTTTTTTTTTTCAGTTTGTCTTCACTTTACTAGTCCACAGGTATCTAAGCAACTGGCTTAACTGATGCTGCAGTTATGAATGCTGCTCTGCACTCACTTGCTCCTTGAAACTTTCAACCTGATGCATTTTCTGTCCATTTTGTGTTCTGTTCTCAATACTGTGCTTATCAGAATGTTATTTATATATCACTGAAAAAGGGCTTTATACTTTTGCATAAAGGTTTTAAGCCCTTACAAACCTGTAAATATTAATGTTATCTACCAGTAAATGAATCATTTTGGAGTGGATTATGAAGTGAATGACCATTCACTTGTTAGAAAAAGGTATCCAAAGAGTGAGATTTTCCCCATTGGACCTACAGGTGTTGGGAAGAGGCTGCCCCGGCCAGGCTGGCAGCGCAGTAACACGGAGTGTGGCCTTGTCTTTGCACAGCACTCCTGGTGGGGTTTGCAGGGTCATCTGTTTGCACTGGGGTGGTGAAATGTAATTGGCATATCTGTTATTTCAGGTAGGAACAAGGAGAAAAGGGAGGAGAATGGGGGTCTGCCAGGTGTTTTTTCCATACATGGGGATGCACAGAGGATCTATTAAAAGAGAGAAAGCCCTATGATTTGCCTTTGTGCTACTTCCCTGCTGCTCTTTGTGCTTCAGAGTGCTTTTAACATGCTGAGAGATTGGAATAAAGAGCTGGTGAGGCTTCCCTCTCTCAGAGGGGCTTTTCTGCACATCTTGGCTGTTCAGCCACCAATAATTGTTGCATACAAGTAACCATCAAAGGAGAGATGGTAGTAGAATACACCCTTTTGAACACGAGTAATTGAACAGAAAGAGGAGAATGATGACAGGTCATTGACCTTTGCAATACAACTGCATAATTACCAAAGACTGCATCAAAACCTAGTTAGGTATAAAAAGGAAAACTGCCCCTTTTGGTGCAGTTTCAGGTAGGCTTTGGTGCAGATCTGCAAGTGACTTTTCCTCTGCATGGCTTCCCCCAATTAGTTACTTGCCCCCATTTATGTTGTTTCCTTTCTACCCACTTTCCTCTCTGGAGGAAGAGGCTCCTCTTGACCTGCACTGGAAAACTTAACATCTCTTAGGATAGTCATCTCCATATCTCTGCAGTAG